GAATCCAGCCTGAATTTCTGGCAGTTCTCTATCAATATACTGCTGCAGCAGCTTTTGAATAATCTTCAGCAAAAGGAGCGGGGAGGGGGCAAGTAACTGGGAGGAAAGTTCTTCCCAAAGGGGGTGTTTTTTTGATCCGCATGGTAGGTAAGACGCATGTACTTATCTTTTGCCAATTGAGTGCCACTTCTCGCTGGTTCTGGAAGGTTGAGCAGACTTTCCAACGCTCGGTCTCTCTCAACATGGAAAACACGTCCCAAGCGCCACTGCTTGCCTCATCATGCACGCCAGCCCATCCAGCATGCAGCTTGCTGGTGCCAGCCAGGTCAGGTCTGGCAACTCCTCGCTGCTTCTGAACCATCTCTCCCTCCCCTTGCCGCTCAGTCCAATTCCTCAACTTTTCCTTTGATGTTCAGGGCTCCTAGATTGTCATATATAATCAATTCACTTGTTTTTTGGGGTCTTTGTTGTAAGAGGGACCACAGGAAGCATCTGACTACTTCACCATCTTGGCCCTACCTAGCTCCTATTTTTGTATATGTTTGAAATGTTCCCCATTAAAAAAATTTTTTAAATATGTTTAAGGAAAAGCAAGGTTTCCCATGACTTCGCCATCCAATTCTCTGGACTTAGTAAGAAAGAGAATATGAAAAGGTGAAAGGAGGATGAGAAGGGAGGGAGGAAATTAAAGAACCAAGGCAGGCAAATAAGAGTAGAAAAAGGTGGGTGGGCTCTCCTTCCTTGAGGACCATTATTACCCTAACCTTATCATCAACTCCCTTCCAGTGCACAAGTGTCCTGTGAATCAGCTGAGCCTCATGATAATGTAGTGTAACACTTCCTCTTCTCCTCCAAACAGGAATATGTGGTTCCTAGCAGCCAAAAATAAAACCATAGTCTAATGCAGCATTTGTCTTTGTTGTAACTTCTCTCTTCCCTCTATTTCCCTTCCTTTCCCCTGCTCAAATTTCAGGCAAGCAGCAGTTGGTTTTTCAAGTGTACAGCATGATAAAACGAAAATTCAGTACAGACTAATAAGGCACCAAAGCACAGTGGACAGTCAAGCAAAGAGGATATATACAAATGGCAGCCTTTTTTTAAAAAAAAAAAAGAATCATTAGAAAGATCACCAAAGGTCAATGTCACAACTGAAGCTACAAAGATACAAGAGCAAGAAGGGAAATTTGACCAGGGAAATACTTTACTCTTACTTCTAAGGCTTATGGGATCAGATAACAAAGAATTTCCAAAACTGAAATGCTAGCTGTTATATACCTGATGTCTAAGAGAAAAAAAAAAATAAACTGATAAAAATACTACTTCCACAGTAAACATTTTCACACATTACTGTAACAAACAGAAACTGTAGCCAACCAGTTGCTACCAAGTTGATTCCAACTCTGGGTGACCCCATGTGTATCAGAGTAGAACTGTGCTACCCAAGGTTGTTAATGGCTGGATTTTCTAAGCATATCTCCAGGCCTTTCTTCTGAGGTGCCTCTGGATGGAATCGAACCACCAACCTTTCAGTTAGCAGAAGAGTATGTTGTTTGTACCACTCAGGGACTCTAGAAATTGTAAACTATACTCAGAAAGTGTCATGGATATAAGCCATGATCTAACTACTGTTTGGAAGTGTCCAGTGTCCTTTCCTGTATATCCCATCTCTGATAAAGCAAATTGGTCATGTGTTTTGCCTATTCTTTGCTCTACTCATCATTGTCATTATCTGGTCCTTTTTGATATATAGTGTTACTATTTTTAAAAAGAGCTGCATTGGTAAAATACATCTTTTCTGAGCATTGTGCTCTTTTAAAGAATTATCTATGTGAGATCAAATTGACAATGGCAATTCAAAAGACTGGATGGAAGCTTAGGGGGTTCTGAGTTTTAAGATAATGGTGCTAGGATAATGTGGGAAAAGATAGCAAGAATGGTAGTACAACTTGAAGAATGTAACCAATGTCACTGAATCATACATGTAGAAATTGTTGGAATGGTATATCTTTGGCTGTGTATACGTTCACCAAAATTAAAAATTTAGAAAATAAAGAGCTGCAAATTCATTGACACTCCTCCCAGCTCAGGGTCTATGTTCCCTCCTCTTGAATTTGAGTGGGCTTTTGATTCCTTCAACCAATAAAGTACGGTGGAAGTGACACTATGTGACCTCTAAGACTAGTTCATAAAAGACCGTGCAGTTCCCACCTGGTTTTTTTGGACCACTTGTATTTTGGATGCAGCCCTTGGGTGGTGCAAATGGTTAACTGCTGGGCTACTAACCAAAACGCTGGAAGTTCAAACCCATCCAGAGGCACCTTGGAGAAAGGCCTAGCAAGCTACTTCTAAAAGGTCACAGCCATGAAAACCCTATGGAGTGTAGTTCTACCCTACACATACTGGATCATCATGAGTCACAATCGACTTGATGGCAACTGGTGTGGTTCAGTGGCTCTTTGGACACTCCTTGGAATCCAGTCACCAAACCAAGAGAAGCCTACACCAAATGGAAAAGCCACATGTAGGTGTCCTCTTCAGAGTCCCAGTTAAGCCCAACTTGCAAATTATCTCAGCCTAGGCACCCGATGTGAGTGAGTGAGCTTTCAGATGATTTCAGCCCCCAGTCATTCAGTCACCCCCAGCCATTCAAGTTTCCCAGATGAGACTCCACACATTACGGAGCAGAGACAAGACATTCCCCTTTGTACTTAGTCCTGTCTGATTCCTGACCAGCAGAATCCATGATTATAATAAAATGGTTGTTGTTGTAAGCCTTTAAGTTTAGGGCGGTTTGTTACACAGCAATAGATAACTGGAACATATGCTGTACTATATCATTCTTGTCTACCCTATTCTCATTTCGTCTCTAATCCCTGTCAACCTTCCTCTCTCTCTCAAATTTTTCCTCTTCATTCATCCACCTCTGCATCACTTTCAGTTCATAAGCCAATTTGTCCACAGGAATCATTTCAGGAATTCATGTAATCATTTATTATGACATTTATTGTATAACCATGATGTATGAGGAACTATGCATGAGGCACTGAGGTAGTTATAAAGATGAACAAAATATGATCCTTGCTCTAGAAAGGCATGGGAAACAGTGACTTAAATACAATATACTAAGGGCTATAAAAGTGGTAGGGCAAAGTGTTTTGAAGTCATTAGTGTCCCCTGTTCTTTTTGTTAGGTGCCATTGAGTCGGTTCCAACTCATAGCGACCCTATGCACGACAGAACAAAACACTGCCCGGTCCTGCGCCATCCTCACAATCCTTGCCACTGAGTCAATCCATCTCACTGAGGGTCTTCCTCTCTTTCACCGACCCTCTAACTTTACCAAGCATGATGTCCTTCTCCAGGGACTGGTCCCTTCCGACAACACGTCCAAAGTACGTAAGATGAAGTCTCTCCATCCACACTTCTGAGGAGCATTCTAGCTATACTTCTTCCAAGACAGATTTGTTCATTCTTCTAGTAGTCCATGGTATATTCAATATTTGTCAACACAGTTATCCTTGTTCAAAGTGTTGGGGACCTCAATGAGGAAGTGACATTTGAACAGAACCCTGACAGATTATGGAGATATACAACACATGAATGAAAGTAGATGTTAATATTTGAAACTTTTATAACCACTTACTCATATAATGCATATGGAAAAAAAAAGTAACTTGTTTGACTTTAATCAGAATAGTAAACAGACAAGTCTCTGGAAATAAAAGTAAAATATGGCCATGTGCTGACTATGTCCTTTTCAAAAGTTTTATAGTGGTTTTCAATCATGAGTTCTAATTTTGGATACTTTATTAGCTTAGGAAAGAAGAAATTAAACAGAAAAGCAACAGCCTTAGCTATAGAATGACTCTTTTTTAATTATACATATGTTCACTCTATTCTAAGTACCTGGCTGAAGTTAAAATAAATTTCAATTAGAGTAATTTTTCTATTTGGATTCAATTATAGAATCAAAAGTACATTCTCATGGGAAAAAAATATCTGTTCAGTACACACGGTACTAATGTTTAGAATGAAACACGGTAAATGATGTTGGGATCCAGGTCATCCTAGGTATTAGAAAACTAAGGAATAGTGTCATAAACCTTCCAGAATTTTTCAAAGGTTTGAAAAGAAATCTAGTATTTTACAGAACTTTCCCTTTGCCATCACCCTACTGCTCTTTACTCTCTTCTCTAAAACAAACAAATTTTTCTCACTCATAAACATGCCCTGACCACACAGTCGAAGATCCTCAAGCTAGATGGTTCCCCTTTTAAGGTGAGATCTGAGCACTAAATCTCAATATCATGCTTTGTTAATATAGTCTGAAAATTCCATGATTTGAGAAATCATGTTCTATAAATAAATCAACAGCTATTTTTTCCAGTGCTGTACATCTGAAATTCTGCAAATTAAATGTATTTAAGTAAGTGATACTGGTAAATTGACAGCAATAATAGAATAAAATAGTTAATATATACACATGTTAACATACGTATAAACCAAAATCAGTTGCCATTGAGAAGACTCCAACTCATGGCAACCCCATGCGTGTCAAAGTAGAACTGTGCTCCATAGTGTTTTCAGTGGTTGATTTTTTTGCAAATATATTGCTAGCCCTTTCATCTGCCTCTGGGAGGACTCAAGCCTCCAACTTTTTGGTTAGCAGACAGCATGTTAACCATTTTTACAACAGTGTGAATATACTAAAAACCACTGAAATGTACTTTGTAACATGGCTAAAAATTGTGAATTTTATGTCGCATGAATTTCATCTCAAAAGAAATTTTTTAAAAAATGCATGTACAACATATAAACAATATACAGATGAAAATTAAAACAAAAGTAAAAGTCAGCACATATGGCAAAAACTGAATATATTCAAAATTAGCCTTAACTATTCCACAGATACTTATTCAATCTGTATGCGGAACAAATAATCTGAGAAGCTGGACTATATGAAGAACGTAGCATCAGGACTGAGGAAGACTCATTAACAACCTGTGTTATGCAGATGAAACAAACTTGCATGCTGAAAGTGAGGAGGACTTGAAGCACTTCCTGATGAAGATCAAAGACTACAGCCTTCAGTATGGATTACACCTGAATATAAAGAAAACGAAAATCCTCACAATAAGCAACATCATGATAAATGGTGAAGAAATTGAAGCTGTCAAGGATTTCATTCTACTTGGATCAATAATCAATGCTCATGGAAGCAGCAGTCAAGAAATCAAACAACATATTGCATTTGGCAAATCTGCTACAAAAGACCTCTGTAAAGTGTTAAAAAAGCAAAGATGTCCGTTTGATGACTAAGGGACCTGACCCAAGCCATGGTCTTTTCTTTTCAATCACTTCATACGCATGCAAAAGCTGGACAATGAAAAAGGAAGACAGAAAAAGAACTGGTGCATTCAAACTACGGTTTTGTTTTTTCTTTTTTATTGAGCTTTAGGTGAAACTTTACAGAGCAAATTAGTTTCTCATTCATCAATTTATACACAAATTGTTTCGTGACATTGGTTGCAATCCCCACGATGTGTCAACACTCTCCCCTTCCACATCCCAATTCCCTGTTTCCTTCCGTCCATTATTCCTGTCCCTTCCTGCCTTCTCGTCATTGCTATTGAGCAGGTGTTGCCCTTTTGGTCTCATATACATGATTGAACTTGAATTGTGGTTTTGGCCAAGAATATTGAATATATCATGGACTGCCAGAAGAATGAACAAATCAGTCTTAAAAGCAATACAACCAGAATGCTCCTTAGAAGCAAGGATGGTGAGACTTTGCATTGCTAACTTTGGACACGTCTTCAAGAAAGACCAATCGCTAGCAAAGGACATCATGTTTGATAAAGTAGAAGGCTGGCAAAAATGAGGGAAACCCTGCATGAGATGGATTAACATGGTGGTGCAACAATGGGCTCAAACATACCAAAGATTGTGAGGATGGCGCAGGACTCAACAACGTTATGTTCTGTTGTACGTAGGGTCTCCATGAGTCGGAGCTGACCTGAGGGCAACTAACAACATGAAATCCCATAGAAGACATGGGCCACACTGGAGACTGACACTGTCTCTGGGGAAGCACAGCCCAGCATCAGAGGAGACATCTAACAGCAACAGAGGTTATATCAGTTAGCTTTTGATGAGAGCAAAAACAAAACCTGCTGTATAATTAGTAGCCTGAAACAATAAAAATATGTTATTTCTCATGATTCGGTAGGTTGGTTGGGAAGTTCCTCCAGTCTGCGTGGGCCTAGATAAGGCTGGATGATCTAGGATGGCCTCACTCACATTTGGCACTAGGAGGCGATAAGCCAGAGGACTTCAGTTCCTTTCCATGTGGCCTCTCTCCAGCAGGACAGATCAGACTTTACATATAGTTCTCAAGGCTCCAAGAGCAGCAAGAGAGAGCAAGCCCCAATTACAACACACTTTATGTCTCTGAATGCTTTACATTTGCTATTGTCTCATTGGCCAAAGCCAGCCACATGGCCAAGCCAAGAGCCAGTATGGAAGGACCCACCCAAGACTTGGTTATGGGAAGCCAAATTATAAGTTCATTTTGCAAACAATCTAGCACACAGAAAAATAGATTTGGGTTTTTTTGGTTTGGCATTAGATAAAGTAGTTTGGCTTGGGCTTGGGAGCCAGTTTGTGTCAAACAATACTTATCTCTAAATACTAAAATCACATTCAGCCAGAGAGATGCTCCTGAGCATTTGCAAACTAAGACAGACTAAGGGGGAAGCAAGTTCACCACACCCAGTGCACACACCTCTGGGGCATATACTCATCAAGCAGAATGGTGCATAGAATCACCCCCCCAGTCCTTAAATTACTTCTTCTCTCTCTTTTTTTTCCTTTGCTGACCCATAGAGCTAAATTCTAATTCACATATACCACAATGTACTATACAATGATGGAGTCTCTGGTTGGTGCAAACAGTTAAGAGCTCAGCTGCTAACCCAAAGGTTGGAAGTTTAAGCCCACCCAGAGGTGCCTCAGAAGAAAGACCTGCTGATCTACCTCCAAAAATTCCACCATTGAAAATCCTATAGAGCATAGGTCTACTCTGATACACATTGGGTCATTATGAGTCAGAATCAACTCTGTGGCAACTGGTACTATACACTGATAACCAGAACTCTAGACATTTCTTGTAATTGTGCATTAAATTTGGAGCTTCTTAAAACCTAGGGAACAAAGAATAAACATAATGCTACATAGAATACTAATTTTTTATGATATAATGCATGCCAAGTTATCAAAAGAAAAGCTTTCCCTGTTATTAAATTCCAAGGAGAAGCTATTTTACGGGATCATAAAGAATAGAGATATCATACAAAATCTTCAACAGAAGTTTGGACAGAAATTACAGAAACATTCCTCAGCTGGCTATTTCTTATATTAACACTTGAAATGGTGCATCCACTAAATAAAGTAAATAACGCCTTGGTGAAGGCTTTATTTCTATGGGGGCTGAGCGAGATAGGTTACATCCTGGTTAACTCAAGAAGTAGGAATAAAATATTGAAGACTAAATGGGTAATAGGATTCTAGGTCTTTGTCTGTTAAAAAATTATCTCAGCCTCACTTTTGGCAAAAGTTGAACGAAATTCAGTTTAAGATTTAACTGTCCATTATATTAAGCACCGTATTTGCTGTAAAAGAGGAGAAACACTACCTTCTAGATGGGCCAAGTATTTTAAGGCGTACCCTTCTGAATGATCCAGTATAACAGAAAACATCAATAGTCCAAAAGATCTATGGCTTCACACTGGAATTATGTCATTTTGAGACTCCAAATTCATCTAATTTAAGCCCTGTGTCTTGATTTCATGTTTCTGTAAAATTGAGCTTATATTCCTCAGATTGCTATATAGAAAAATCACTAAGACACTGGCAGGTGTCCTTTTCAGTGTTGTTTCTGCCAAATCAGAAAGCTTTAAAAGGCAGAGAGGCAGCAAGTATGGTTCTCAGTTCATGGCGTGAATTGTACAAATAGACGCTCATATTTTAAATTAGTGAAATAGTAAAGCAGGTTCAAGGCAACTGAACAAAAATCTTCCATGGCTGTTAAGATCCTCTAAGGCTGGGTACTGCATTTCTCTACACTACCACCCTCACCCACGACACACAGAGTATCTACCTGGATGCTTCACTGATACCAAATGTACAATCCCTGGGTGGTGCAATGGTTAACGCACTTAGCTGCTAACTAAAAGGTTGGAGGTTCGAGTCCATCCAGAGGCTCCTTGAAAAAAAATGCCTGGCTATCTACTTCTGAAAATTTAGCCATTGAAAAGCCTATGGAACATAGCTCTACTCTGACACACATGGGGTCACCATGAGTTGGAGTCGACTCAATGGCAACTATTTGTTTTTTTTGTTTGTTTTTATACCTACACTTACATAAAATACATTTTAAATTACCACTTTTTTGATAAATTACATTACACTTGAAACTGAAGATACACTGGCTTAAAAGGCATAAAAAGCAAACCTCTATCACTCAGATGAAATTCCAGAATGTTTGCCTTGTCTAGGATCTACTGAATAATGTTAGCCAATCAGAGTCTTCTAGTCGATGCATGAATAATAATACCTGCATAGCTGGCTGCAACTGGTCTTTTATATTGATCAGAACACCAAGCCCTACTGGTATAAGAACCTGGATAAGAAAGTGCCGCACTGATCCACATTCCCTTCTGAGTTCTGCCCAGGATCTACCCAACTTGCTAGCTATATGAAAATCTAAGAAACTGAATTTACCAATGTCACTATCATCATAAGAAATACTGAGCACTGCCTGCAGAGATATAGCATCATTCCAGAAAGGTCTCTCCTCCTCTACAATATTAGTTGTGTGCGCCTAACTCATAGTGTGACAAACAACTCATACACTTCCCTACTCTGGCTGATGGCTAAAAATGTTCAAATAGTGAATATACCGTTTCATTCCAAAATTAGAAATAAAATATAGAATATAAATACCCCTTAAGAAGGTAGCACGCTGACCAAAGTTCATTTTAAGGTCTCGATCCCAACCTCTCTTGCCATCTCAAACATTTCTGGCCTGCAGTTATCCCCTCTCTATGTGCACCTGATCTTTCTCTACTGGATCATTCCATTTGGCAGAGTAGCATCACTTATGCTCACAAAAAAAGTCATTACTATGACTCACATTCCCCTCTAATTACCACATTATTTCTCTAAGTCCCCATACAGCAAAAACTCTTGAAAAAAGAGATGATAATCATTGTCTCTACTTCTCACCTCATGTGCTTTCCTGAAACCACCCCAGTTGGGCTTCTGTCTCCATCATTTCACTTAAGACTGTGTTTGTCAAAGTAACCAAAGACCTCCATGTAGCCCAACGCAGTGGTCACTTCTCAGTTCTCATCTTATGTAACCTCTCAAGAGTGTTCAACACAGTTGACCATTGTCTCCTTGAAATGCTTTATTTCTCTTGATTCTCTGTGACATGGAAGTTTCCTGAATTCATCTCCTGTCTTAGACACTGTACCTTCTCATTCTTCTGGGCTACCTTCTACTTTTCTGCTTTAGTTCTAAACACTGGCATGCTTGCTTTTCTTCTTCATCTACACAATTCTCTTCATAGGTGGCCTCATCCAGTTCCATGACTTGAAATAGCATCTATATGTCAATAACTCCAAAGTGTACATTGCAAGCCCTGAGATGTACACCTCAAGAACCTCAGATTTATATATCTGCCAACCTGACATCTTTATTTGAATGTCTAACAAGCATCTCCAAACACAACATGGATAAAACAGAACCCTAAAAATATCCACCCCTAAAACTTGCTCTTTCCCCAGTCTTTGTCATCTGAGTAAATGGCCTCACCATCTCCCCAGCTACTCAGCCAAAACTCTAGAAGTTATCTCTGATTTATTCCTCTCCCTTATACCTCAAATCTAATCCATCTGCATGTTCTTTGGGCTGTACTTTCAAAAAAATTTTCTAAATCTATTCAAGTCTCTCCTTCACTCTTCTCCCATTAGTACAATAGGCT